CTTCCCTTCCTCCTCCTCCTCCTCCTCCTCTTCCTCCTCCCCACCTCTCCCCTCCCCTCCATGCCACATCCCTCTAATCCCAAACCAGGGAAAGCGGCCGAGCTGGTCGTTCCCTGCCCTCATATTGTGCGTGCTGCGTGGCCTCGGTGCTCACCGCTGCCGAGGCCAGCCCTAGACTAGCCAGCACTAACACCCCGGGCCCTCTCACTCTCCTGACGTGTGGCTGGCTCTGCAGAGAGAAAAGCTGGAGCTGGGGAAGGGGCTGAAGCCGCCCTCCCCCCTTGCATGGGGCAGGCAGCTGCCTGGGCAGGCGCTGATGCTGTCTCTAGCTCCGGGCTGGGGTTGGAAACCTCATTTCTCAAGAGAGCAGAGCTGTGTCTTGATGCTTTGAAACCCTCCAGACGGTCCTGTGGCCTGTGATGGTGCTGCCTCCAACCACCTGTTCACCTGCATGCTGCCCCCCGGTATATATCACTGCCCCTTCGCTGATGCTTCCTTCTTTCTCTCACTGCTAAATTCTAAACACCAGCTTGATCTTGTCAATCTTGGGATTGTTTTTGGTTTGTTGTTTTTTTTTTCCAACACTTGAATTGAGGGGAAGTTTGGAGGAGAGGGACTGAGAGGAGAGCAGGCTGATCCCCTCAGCAAGAGAAGGCAGGGGCTGTGCTTCCCCAAGCAATAACGTCGAACTGCTCCGGGCTAGGGCTGCCCCGGCAGCTGCGGGAGGGCAGGCAGGCACTGTCGAGAGGGTCCTGTGCCTGCACAGTGTGTGTGGAGCCCTGCTTCCCTGCCTGCCAAAGGCAAATGCTGGCTGGCAGCAGGCTGAAGCTGACCTCCAGGCTCACCGGCCAGGCAGAGGAGCTGGGAAGTTTGTGCTGGTGGGCTGTGGCCGGGGACCAGCCGTGGGCTCGAGGTGGGGATGGCAAAGTCCGGTGGTGTTCGTGGTTAACCAAAGAGGAGATGGAAGCTGAAATGTCGCGTTCCTCTTGCTGCTCTGCCCTGGGCGCCCAGGGGGTGAGATGCCCAGGCGGAGAGAGGCAGCCAGGTCCTGGTCTTAGTTCAGGTGCTGCAGGAGGAAGGCAAGTGGCAACATTGCACTTTATCTTCTGAGATTGCATTAAAAAAAAAAAAAAAAAAAAAAAAAGGCAAGCAAACCCCTAACACCCTGCAAAGGGACAGTAACACCACTTTCTCCCCTTGCATTGCTTTTATCTGATTTATTGACTGCTCGGCAGTCTTGGATAAGGCTTTCATGTCTGCATATGGTTGTGGCGGCATTCAGGCCTGTCTCTGAACATGCACAAACCTTCCCGGACTCTCACACGGTTCAGCTGAACACTAACCAACTGACCTGTGCTTCTGTGCCACTTTCTCTAACACTTGTTGTGCCTGTGTTTAGCTGACAAACTAAATCCAGATACACTAGTTTGGTGTGGTTTTTCTAGGACAGCTTCAGTTTTAATACGGAAATTTTTTTTATTTTATTTTAAGGAAACAGCTGTACATATTGCTAGCCTGGGAAGAGATCCGTGTGTGGTGAAAGTGACTTTAGTTTCCTATCTGGAGAGGTGGGAGTGAGCTGGTTGGTGCTGAGACCTTAAATGAAGACTGCAGAGAAGCTGCTGGCTGGCGAGTGTCTGCCCAGACGGACAGAGCAGAGGAAGGAGTTGTGTTCGCTGTTGGCTTGATCTAGGGCTAGAGATAGCAGATTATCTTGGGGAAAAAAAGGAGAGTTGTGGTCTGAACTAGATACAACTGGAATGTACACGTTCCTGTCCTGGGATGCCTCATGTGTGTCCTGGCTTTCTCTGCAGCTGCGCTTGGCGTGACGCTGCTCGTGGGGGAGAGGGGAGGGCTGGGGTGGGCAGAGCAGCCTGGTGGCTTTGGTGAGCTGGGAGAAGTCAGGCGCTGGTGGGCTTGGTCCCCACTGGATGGGGCACAGAGGCAGCGGGTGCAGGGGTGCGTGGGCAGCACTCGAGCTCCAGGTGTGTCGGAGCCTGCTCCTGCCTCAGGCAAGATGCTCAGCAAAAACCTTTCCGAAGCTCATGGTCGGGGTGAGCGGTGGCTTGGAGGTGTCTGAGCTGCTGAAGCATGAGAAAGCAGTGCAGGCTGCGGGCAGGGGATGTGGTGCAGCAGGAAGGGCTGAGTGGGAGCTCCTTCCCAGTGGGCGCTGGGGTCCCTCCCTGGCTGCCAGTACCCATGCTCTGGCAGGCAGGAGGCTTCCCCTTGGCCCAGGCTGCTCAGCTGCTGTCCTGTCTGCTGGAGCCTGGTGTCTCCCTGTGTATCAGTGGCATATACAGTTACTTCGGGGCTTTTTATACTATTAAACAACGTACATTCAAGTAACCAAGTTTGTGGGCTTGAGGCTACAGGAGCAGGAGGCCGGGAGCCGTGGCAGCTTTGCTGCTGCCCCCAGCATGCCTCCCCTTGGGTCGGAGTCCTGACCGCAAACTGAATGTAGTTTTCTATGCCGATCCTTGCTGTTGTCCCCCACGTAGTGTTGGTGTGTGAGTGGGGCTCTAGGACCCTTGTGTGTTTGTGTCATTTAGGCAGAATTTCTAGTTTTCTTGGAATGGGGCAGGAGCTTGATGTTGGTGACAGCTTCGGGGTGGCAGGGGCTCCTGTGTCCTTCCCGCATGTGGAAGGAGGGAACGGCTGAGCCCCTCCTGAGCCAGTCATGGCTGTTCACTACTGTCCCTGCAAAAGGCCGAGCGGCCGTAGCTGTTGGGAGACCGGCAGCCTCCAGGCCTGGGAGAAATGTCACCTGAAAGACCCCCCTGGCTTGGGGCAGCCTGCGGGTGGGGGTGGAAAATTGCTATGGGAGGCAGCAGCAGAAAGCATGCTCCGTCTCTCCTTCCTCCTCACCACCTGAAATCCAGCTAGAGTAAGCGTTTGCCTTTCAAATCTCCCTCACACGAGTCTCGCTGGCCACCAGCTGGTGTCTAGAGTAAGAGATCAGACACGAGACTCCTGTCTTGCACCCGTTGTCATTGTCCCACCCCAGCATTCAGCATTGCCTGCAGCTTTGATTACCCTGTAACATAGATACAATGAATAATGACATAGTGGGGGGGGGGAATGACCATGTTGGGGTGGGGGGGTGGACCGAGAGGACAGTGTGGCTGGAGATGAGGGCTTGGGGCGCAGGACCCGGGAGGGCTGATCCCAGCTCTTGGCTCCCTCTGTGGTCTCGGGAAGTCATTTAACCTCTCTGCCTCAGTTTCCCCATCTGCAAGGTGGGGATGATACTACTTACCTCACCGGGCTGTTGTGAGGAGTGAACAGTATGTAAAGTGTTCTCTAAATGTGACGTATTAGTATTATTATTATTTTGTGTCATAGGATTATTCTGCGGCAGCACTGTCTCCTCTGTGGCGGTGGGTGCACCGTGCTGCCTGAGGAGGGGTG